ACATACATACATACAGACATACAGACAGACAGACAGACAGACAGACACACACACACACACACACACACACACACACACACACACACACACATACATACATACATACATACATACATACATACATACATACATACATACATACATACATACATACAGTAAAAGGTTTTCTGTATGCATGCAAGCAATCTCTGTGTCCTTTTATAGGAACATCTCTCTGCTGCTGGATGGGCTCATTCATTTAGTTCTGCATCCTCTCCCAACATGGCTTTCAGCTAAGTTAGACACGACTGTTCTCTCTGTTTTCACAGGCTTGAATTCAAACTTTTTGCTGCTGACATTTGACTAAAAGGCTTTTCTTCAACATCAGCATCTCGCCCAAAAGACCAACAAGTGAGTTCTAGAGCTATTTATGCCTTAACCCCCTCTAGAAAAAAAATGACGATGTTGGGCCTATTGCATTTTGGGCATATCACGAGAAGACATGGGTTTCTGGATAAGACAATAATGCTAGGGAAAGTGAAAAGAGGAGGGTCAAATATAAGAGGGTTTCACTCAATAACTGAAGCCACAGCCTTGAGTTTGAAAGAACTGAGCTGATGATAGGACTTCATGGAGGTCATTAATTCATAAGGTACATTGAGAGTGACTTGATAGCGCATAATAAAAACGCTGTCATGATTATTACCAATGAACAGCCCTTTCTCTTTATAGTCTCTCATGTGCCCAGCCTGGAAGATACATGATCATAGTGACCTCTTCTAATATCAGGAAAAATGGGGCCACCCCTGCCATCTGAGATATGCCTGAGTCCATTCCAATAAAGTAGCAAACGGGCCAAGGTGAACCCGAAACTTTTGTCAAATGAAGCAACCACTGTGTGGGTGGGGAGGAAGGAAGGGAGGGAGGGAGGGAGGAGCTGATAAAGGAAGAGAGGGAAGGAGGAAGTTTAAAAGAGAGGAATGAGCAAGGAGAGAAGGAAAGAAAAAGATGAGCAATTAAGAAAGAAAGAAAGAAAGAAAGAAAGAAAGAAAGAAAGAAAGAAAGAAAGAAAGAAAGATGGAAGGAAGGAAGGAAGGAAGGA